ATTAAAGAACAAAAGCAATGTGAAAAGGATTATGGTCTAGAGATGTGGGGTAAAACGTCATCTCGCTTCAGGCTTATTCTCTGTAGCTAACCTTGAGCAATAGAGAGTTCAAAACTGGAGTATCTGATTTCACCTTTGACTTTTATCTAAATTGGGCTCCCTGTGTCTAGTTTATGTCTACTRACCTTGACTTTCCAAACCAGTTCCCCATTATAGCAACAGATGATGGCCAACCAGCAGATTGAAAAAATCCTGAACATTGTAAAGGTTTTAAATCATATCAAAATATTACTCCAGAAGAAACATTTGTTAGTAAGATTCTACAGGGCCCCTCATTTTTATTATTATACGGTCTTGCTTGAATTAGCTTATAGATATTATATTACCATTAGAGATTATAGATTGTTATAGACTTTTTATTAATGATAATTTGAATATATTGAACATATAATTCAGTTGGAAGCTAGACTGAGATGTGTTCAATGTAAAAAATAAAACAATAGCGCAGCGCAACCATGACGTCATAAAAACGAAGACAAAGGCAAAATTCGGACAAACAAACTTACAAGTTTACTTTCAGCAGTTAATTTTCACAGCCGATCGCAGTTGATTTTAGTTTACATGGGTTATTATTGTAACTTTAAGTAAAGATAATAAAATCGGTTCGTATAATCCTTGCAGCGGTTAAACAGAATGCAATATTTGTCCGAATCTTTAAGCTATTTTTAGAATTAGTGYGCTGTGCTATTTATCTGTCAAAAGGATTACAGTAGAATTTGTTTCATATTCATTCCCTTGTACAATCATCCTCCACTTTTTATGTTTGTAATGTAGAAAAGACAGACTCATACCCAGTTGCTTCTCTTCTCTTAATGATCTCACACTGTGTTTGATGGGAAGGATTTAGTGAGTTCACAGTGCATCAAGGGAAGGAAGAAAGAGAAAAGCAAAGCATCATCACTTTTTATCTCTCCTTCCCAAAAGCCTGTCGCACATATTGAAAAAGCATGAATGTTGACTGGGTAGGAGTGTGAAGAAGAGAGAGAGAGAGAGAGAGAGGGTTCATTGACACCTTTGAACCATGTTCACTGATTATTTACCATTTAGGGCCATAAATACGCCATAATACCAGATGTTATAGATGCCGAGCCACTTGCTTGCAGTTCCAAACATGAAAACCTCAAATAAATGAAAGAAAAATATGTCAACTTGAAGATCAGTAATCAGGGAATACAGAAAGAGGGGGCCCTACAGTACATGTACATTTTCAAGTCTCATATACAGCCCCCAACTTTGTTCTTATACATATAGGGTGTGTACTGTACTATGAGCTAGTCTGTTATATTTTCCAATCTCATTACCCCTTTTTAGGGTGCTACTCAGTCCTTGGTAGTTTAAGTTATTACAGTAGGGCTCACATTTTTCGCACAATTTTCATTGTTTTCTCCCATAACTTTCTTCTAATTGACTCGTATGAGTGTTCTTGATGTAAAGGAAACATGCAGCTCCATCCATGCATATGAACGAAGGAAAATTACACACATACAAAGAAATTACACACAGTTCCACGCAGTTTCGTTTGCTCAGTCTACACTCACTGTTTGGACAAAACCTATTGTAATACACTCAAATAAATTTTTACACTATGCAATGTTACAATACACATCTGAGCTGCATTGTATGTACCTTAATTCAGTAATTCTCCTAACACTTAGAATACTGACAAATACTTACCATAATGGCAGATAAACACATCCCCAGAGAAAGAACCTTCCTCAGATTAAATCTGATTAAAAAAAGATATCATAAAATATCATAGTCACACAAAAATGTTGGTTTTTTAAAAATCAGTTTAGTCACAATATTAGCATTAGGATAGTGTTCCTGAGAATCTGAAAAACCAACACTGTGGTACGATAATTTATTACCTATCGCCCAGAGCTCCACTGATATACAGGCCCTGATAGAAAAAGAAGAAAAAGGCAAAATTATAAGTTTGCCTATGTTACACATGAATCAGCAATTATATAAACTTATTAACTATTCCAACACAGATATGTAATAGAAACTGACATTGACTGTGAATATATTAATTATAATAATAGTCTTTTATTTTTACACTTATATTTTATTTCTTTTTTAGATTGAGATTAACAGAGACTGCTAATATCTCCAAACTACTCCACGCACTACCACAACATTTGAATATTTTATACACACAACGCTGAACTCACGTGGTGATATTCACGAAGGGAGGAAACTCAGAGAACTCTGAGGAAAACCCTTGTGACATGGGTGCAAACAACACATTAAACAAACTCAGTTCAAATGTGGTTTTGCAGGGCTCAACCAGCCACCCAACCTGTTTGACTCACAGCAGTGAAAGACGTACGATTTGTTAGCAGCGTACATACGTCACCCATGCCACCCTAAACACTTAAAGTTTCTTCAGCTTATTATTTCCTAATAATCTCTAATAATCTTATTTCCGATTGATTGGCTCAAGGGATTATTTACAGCTGTTTGCATTTTTTAAAGTGACAAAAAATTGAACTGTTCACGGTTCAAGTGTCCTCGCTGTAATTTCATTGTAAAATTATATATTCAAAACTTTATAAATGGTAGAAATATATTGAGGTTAAAAAGATAAATTCTGTTTATTACCAAGGCATATGTAGAAAGGAAGGTCGTATCCATCGCACCAAGAAATAATGCAGCACTATCCTGTAATCAAGTACAAAAAAAATTTTAAAAAGTTTCTCTTTGTGGTCATTGCATGTAATGACCACGAAGCGAAAAAACAAAATGACATTATATTTATAACAAATTCTCCATAGTCCCTTTCACAATACCTTGGCCATCTTGAAAGGTAGCCGTGCCTTTGCACAGTGAGCTTGTAATGATAGAGACGTGAATAATTGTCCCAGGTGTAAAAAAAAGGTCTTAAACATTGCAAGCTTATGGTTTGCCTCACTTCGATGAAAGGCACAGATACCTTTCAAATAGCGCATGGAACTGTGAAAGGGACTATTATATTATAGTGAAGATACAAAAACCATGAACAATGCTTCATTTTAGTGGTTAAATAGTAGAAAGTTTAGAAAATAATGAACTCAAAAAAATTTAGACTCGAAGTGTTTATGGTTAGAGTGTCCTTACTCTAAGTAAACTCTATTGTTGTGATCTATCTACATTAGAATTATTTTGGTTTTTCACTATCACCAATCAGAATAAATTATCAGTCAGTACCTTTTACATTTTCGACTGGCAGCAGTGAAAAAACAAATTCAGTGAGTAGCTAGCAGCCACAGAGTTTACTTTCATTGAAAATTGACGTAAAACATATTGGAGGACTTCATAGATAAAATTTATCTATCAAGTCTTGTTTTTCGAATATCTTATCATATAATGATAAAATACAAAACATAATATATAGTGTGCATCGTTCATACTTCTTACTAAACAAATCAAGGCATCTGTGACAGTTTTCATATGACTGTGAAAAGCTCAGTGCCGTAAGCGTGACCTGCCATGACCGTGATACTATCTAGAATTTTAATTAGCTGATTTTTTTTCATGTGCAATATGATTGGTCTAAAAGTGCCGTGATCTTGGCGTGACCATGTCCGCACCATGTTTATGCCGTGTTCCGGGTATTTGATTGGATGGAGAGTAAATTCTTGTGCAACTGTGATTTGTCTGGCGTATCCCTTGCTGTGTCATGACCGTGTTCGTGCCGTGAACTTTTCACAGTCATACGAAAACTGCACTATACTGTAGGATGGAGTGGATGGTGAGTGGATAAGTGATGATAAATCATGCAAAAAATTACAATAAACTTTATACTGTTTGTAAAGGATGGCAATTAACTTACCTTGTTCTTAAAAAAATGGACTGAATTCCATTTCTATAACAAAGAGAGAAAAAATCAAATTATTATATTAACCAAGGTCTGAATACTACATTTTACAGTTCCATTCAGTGACCACGAATAATAGTTCCAAGCCGAGGTTGGAGTTTCTGCAAATGATAAACTGTAGTTTTGCTATGCACGGAAACTCCAGCCTCGGCTAGGAACTATTATTCTTGGTCACTGAATGGAACTGTAAAATGGAGTATTAGTACTTTTTTGGTTGAGAGAAGCTCAGAAAAAGGGATCTGGAAGTTGTACAGGTACAGTAGTAAACTTTTCTTTTCAAGCAGAAGCAACAGATTACTTAGTACCTGGATGGCCTAAAAAGATATAAATACATTTATATAGTTTCTAACAACTAATTGCAACAGATTACTTAGTACTTGGATGGCCTAAAAAGATATAAATACATTTATATAGTTTCTAACAACTAATTGCTTACGGTGAATGGTTTTAAATCATATGTATTGTTGTGTGGCGTCCATTCTTTTTGTAACGTGTCCTTGACATTACTAAATGCTTTTCTCGTTGCATGGAAAAAGGCATAGCTGAAAGTTAAAATTAAAAAAATAGTCATTAAGATGTCAAACTTGGAAATATCGTTTCATGGACATTCAAGCGAACCAATGAGAAAGGCCTAGTCTTGAATTATGGGTATCTAAAGACCTCTTTTGCGTAATGTTTTCCCAATCACAGACCAAAATGACATAATAAAAGAAAATAAATGAGATTTAACAGTGGCATTTTCACAGAATGGCTTTTTATCCACTAAATTCCAATTGGAATTAATTGGGGCTTAACATAGATGGGTGTATCATTCTCTGTTCCATAAGAAGTCATAGCTGCCATATTAGAAGGAATAGGGAAGCTTTTCGATGAATTTTTTTGTTGGATATCTTCTAATATGGCTCACATTTCATATACATCAGCTGGTTTTTTTTCCCTCACGATTCTCAACCCCCAAACCCATTAARAAAGCCATTACATCATTAAAATCAGTCCTAAAGAACAGCACACACTCAATAAATAATCAAAGAGTCAAAAATCAGAATGTAGGCTAATAGCTTTAAAAGGCCTTAGAACATTATAAATCACATCAAAATTTAACAGAAATGCCCCATTGGTTAAGTAAGAAGTATGATGTATACATGTATAATAATCCAGTCAATAAATACCACGACATACCTCATAAAAGTGAGAATAAAGACAAGCAAGTGATACCCTGTCCACTTCTGAGACGCCATCTTGTCGCGTGACCCAAGCCACAGGGAGCCCAAAATACAGTCAATTCAAAAAATGTTGTCGTCGACCAACTCAAGCCTACGCGACTGGACCGAAAGGAACTCTGGGTAGTAATCATTGTAGCCAAGTTGACTCTATAATTTTATCTGATTAGTTATGCCTGGTTTACAGCACGAACCTTCGTAGGCGAGCGGGAAGTGTTGAAGGAGACGTTGTTTTAATGCCTTCATATTTTCGAAATTGTGAACTGAATCATAACTACTTTGTTTTTCTTTCCCTAAACCCAAAGACATGCATTTGATGGATTGTTTCTCGCCATTATTATCTTATTACTAGCGGRAACAATTAATTCAGAACGAATATTTAACCGCTTCAGTGATTTTTACCCATATTCCTTTCGGTCCAGTCGCGTAGGCTTGAGCCGGTCGACGACAACGTTTTTTGAATCGACTGTATGATTTTTGACCAACGCTAAAAAACCTTGTAGTCTGCACTCTGAATTTTTCTACCTTTGTGAAGCCTGACTTAAACCCTGGTTAAGTATAATCTTTCTGTTAAGAAGTCTTATTTCCAAAATTAACACATTTTCTTAACGTTGCGAGAAAAAGTCTACCTCTCGGGCTTCCTGTGGTTGWTCTTTTGGTTAAAGGTCGGTATGTACTCGTAAACTGGTCGGATGGATGAAATCATCACTCGTTCTTCACGAGCTCCTCACGTACATACTTTCAATGTCTTCGAAAACTTCTATTCATCGTAAATAGGCTTCAAATATGTCCCAGAGCGTTCAAAGCAGTGATGAAGAACTCAGAATACCAAGTACTGTACTTTCTTCAGAACGCGAAGTCTTGATTCAACGAGATTYACCCAAACATGGCGCCCCTGCCAAAGCCACCCACACCATCTACGTTTATCTACTCACCATGTTCGCTGCGTTGGGTGGRTTTCTATTTGGATATGACACAGGGGTAGTATCAGGGGCGATGTTGCCTCTAGCTAAAGAATTCTCGCTATCAGACTTRTGGAAAGAGTTCGTGGTCAGTATCACTATTGCAGCAGCCATTATAGGAACCTTGGTAGGAGGATTTCTCAACGATAAGTTTGGACGTAAACCTGTTTTATTGATTTGTTCTGCTGTGTTTACTGCTGGTGCTTTAGTCATGGGAGTATCGAGATCTAAAGAAGTACTTCTCCTAGGAAGAGGCATCGTTGGTCTTGGGATTGGTAAATCAGTTTTATTTTGCTAATTAAATTTAATAACTTCATGACTCAAAAAGTTAATAGCATTTTWAACCTGAAAATCAGGCCCCCAACCCCTCCCCAGCCAGGCCTGATACTCAGGTTAATAGCATATGGCATATTTTTCGAACTATATATAATTCATTGAGACGAAAATTTCTTTGTGAAGACTTAAGAGAGCACCCCAAAATGTAWTAAAAAATGCTGAGAAGGCAAAAATTTTAACTGCTATTATAAATAGGGCTTGAAGTGTTTTGTAATGGGGTCATGAAGCTAGCTACCACTAGTGATAAGTGAGGGTCCACAATAGGGGTTCCCAGATCCTGACTGCTCATTTTTGCTGGCAAACCCGCCAACCTAAAAATCTAGAGGGGGAGGGGAAGGTAAGATTGGAAAATATAAGAGGAGACTAGTAATACAATTATTGGGGGGAAAAGGGAAAAAGTGGGGATAAGGGGCATTAGCCCTCCAGCCCCCATCTCCGTGGTCCCTTATATAAAAACCCTGATCCTACCATTTCTTGTTCTATGACTTGATATTGGTTTCTTCTGGCATAAAAAACTGAATTTATACATCTTACGAATTCACAAAAAGAACTGTAATCCCATATCCTGCTGCAAACCCTTGCAATTCCCGAAACCTCAAAAACATGAAATCCTGCTCCAGTTCCAGATATTATACCCCCACAGATGATTTTTTTCAGACCCCCTTCCTACCCCGGGAAATTCCAATTTTCTTCCATTAAACTCTGTAATTTTGTTCTTTCTCTTATACCCCCACAGATGATTTTTTTCAGACCCCCACTCCTACCCCATGGAAATTCCAAATTCCTCAGTGGGGGGGGGGGGGGGGATATCCTGCTTCTTTCTTTTTTTTTCTTTTTTTCTGAATTGTGATTGGCTGTATTTTCAAAGTTATGGTCTAAATGGAATTATGCAATCATGATGACTCCACATGTATGTGTCTGAGATTTTGGCTTCTATCAGTGAAGCAATGACAGTGTTTTTTAAATCCTCTATTATAACTTTTCCTTGAAGGAGGTGCATCCATGACAGTACCACTATATATTGCCGAGTCCACACCAACGTCTATCAGGGGTCAACTTATCAYGATGAATAATATATTTATCACTGGTGGGCAGTTTATCGCATGTGTTATTGATGGACTTTTTAGTAAACATCCAGAAGGGTGGAGGTAAGTGCTGAACAACTTTATCAACAGCTCACTTYTTTTCTTTTTTTTAATGGGAAGCACGGGTGGCGGAGYGGTGAGAGCGCTYGCCTCTCACCAATGCGACCCGGGTTCGAGTCCCGCTGAGCTCAGTGTCATATGTGAGTAGAGTTGTTTGTTGGTTCTCTCCTGTGCTTCGAGGGTTTTCCGGGTTCCCCGGCTTTCCTCCCTCCCCAAAAATYAACTCCTAAATTCCAATTGGAATTACAGTGGATGAATAGCTACTCTGTAGAAATGCCACTGCTAAATCCCATTTATTTATTTTATTTTATCTATTTTATTTATTTTTTCTTTAAACGTATTTAATCACACATTAACCCCAAGAGCAAAGACTCATCGAGGAGGTCTATATATYTATTTACACATGAYATTTTATCAACAAAATATAAAATGAATTAGGCAGCTAGTCATATTTCATTGTTGGATCTATTAACAGTCTCTTAATGCAAGTTCAACTCAGTACTCACCTGAGCATCATCGATCAGTGCATTACTGCATCAAAATTTTCTCTTGACTTTTCCACCCTTCACAAAAATCAACTTCTCAATTTCAATTTGATCATGAAAATAATTATTATGAGGGCAGCAGGTTTGCTTGCCACTGCTTGCTATTAGTGTTACACTCATAAAACGAGTACAAGGATGATTTTAGATATTAAGCATTGCTAACCAAATGATGTTTTTTCTCAAGGTACATGTTAGGTCTGGCAGGARTACCATCCATTATCATGTTTTTTGGTTGTTTAGCTCTACCTGAAAGTCCACGCTGGCTGGTCAAAAAGAAAAAGATGGACCAGGCTAGGCAAGTTGTAGAGAAGCTCTTTGGAAMACATAATGTTGAAGAAGAAATACAATCTGTTCTTATGATATGCCAAGAAGAAGAGGAAAATGAAAAAGGTAGAGCATTTTGAAAGAGACCTTTTTAGGCTACAATGTACAGGTCATATTTTTTCCCCTTGCTATGCCAATTACATCACTATTTCAGATCGGCAAGAAGTGCTTAATAATTATTGATATTCTAAGAATTTAAAAAAAAATTTCTTAGCAGCACAAGGAGAGGGTGTTTGCATGCGTATGTTGATGGATCCCAACACGAGAMGAGCTTTACTTGTTGGCTGTATGCTTCAAGCTGTACAACAACTAAGTGGAATTAACACAGTGATGTAAGTTTTGTATTTTGTATTTGAAATCCATTTAGGTGGTTTTTGACTATTAAATTTCACTGAAACATGCATAAAACGAGCTCTGGTATCATCAAAGTCAGAGCATGGCTATATCTCGCAGATCGAACCCAGAAACAACAATGATCTGGGCAAATCAAAGTAACGGCACAGCTAACTCACAGAACAAACCCTGAAACAACCTCTGGGCTGATCAAAGTCAGGGCATGGCTAAACTCACAGATCAAACCCTGAAACAACCTCTGGGCTAATCAAAGTCAGGGCATGGCTAACTCACAGAATGAACCCTGAAACAACCTCTGGGCTGATCAAAGTCAGGGCACGGCTAACACACACTAAATCAAATTGTGAAATTATTAGGTTTTGCAGAGGGAAAAAAACATACTAGTAAAGCCAGAAAAAAAATGAGGGATCAAGAAAAGACCTGACAAATGCTGCTCACACGTGATGTTAAAAAGTAATGTCATAATCATGTTTTTCCTTATAAAATCATTCTAATGTTTCAGGTATTACAGTGCAACAATAATCTTTATGTCTGGTATTGGGACAGAGGACATGGCCATCTGGCTTGCAGCTGCCATTGGATTCGGAAACTTCATTTTCACYGTTGTTGGATTGCTTCTCGTTGAAAAAGTAGGACGCCGCAAGCTTCTTCTCGGCAGCCTTGCTGGTGTTATATTGAGTTTATTTGTTATTGGAGGTGCATTTTATCTTGCGGAGATAAATGATACTCAAGTGACATTYACTGAGGCAGGGCCAGCACAATTTTCACATTGTGTGAGTGTAAAGGATTGCCTGGACTGTATAGCAAAAGAGGACTGTGGATTCTGTTACCAGGAGGACACAAGGGGTAACTTTATGAATGGCTCTTGTGTTTTTACAAATGTATCAGATCATAGCCCATTAAATGGAAGATGCAGCAGCGATAAATCAAGTGCTATCTGGACATTTGGTTCATGCCCTTCAAAATATGCTTGGCTAGCAGTGCTTGGTCTCATTCTCTACATCGCTACATTTGCTCCAGGAATTGGCCCAATGCCGTGGACACTTAACTCAGAAATTTTTCCTCTGTGGGCCAGAAGCAAGGGAAATTCATGTACAACAGCTGTGAATTGGACTTGTAATCTCATTATTGCAATATCTTTTCTCCATCTCATGAAATTGATAACTCGGCCAGGAGCATTCTGGCTTTATGGTTCTATTGCTTTCGCTGGTTGGATATTCTTTTATATTTTTGTTCCAGAGACAAAGGGAAAATCACTGGAAGAATTAGAAACTATAATGATTTCATCTTCAAGAAAATAATTGCAGAATATACCAAAAGTAACACTTTTACTTTTGCCTCAATATATATTTTGAAAAATTCCTTATCAGCACATTTTTATAACAAAATAATTGTACTTTATTATTAAGGTATGTTTTACAAGGATTTTCACTGCAAACAAAAAATATTATTGATTGCTTTTAATTGCTGTTAAATTWCGTTTTTCTTTTATATACTGAGCTGCACCACTGCTGTATATAAGTAAGTGGAAGTGACTGGTGATAGTCAGACTAAAGTTGTGAATAATGTACAGCAGAAAATTGCTTGTAAAACATCAAGCACATCATYTTACTTACTGAAAAATACTGAAATTTTGTAACAAATGACAATCACATTCATTCCACAGTTCATTATTTCTTTAAAAAACTTTATAAACATATATTCCAAAAACCAAGGGGTTTTGAAAAACTATTTAAAAACAATAATATGGGAACTGTATAGTTACAACTATGACAAATACTTGAAATTTTGGTTTACAAATGGCCAAAATGGGAGATTTCTGACTCTTWCTTGGTGTTGCAAGGCACTTGAGCCATGAAGACAATAAAACAATAGCTGAGAACGATGAGATTGGAGCAAAACAATATCCTGCAATGTGTAGTTCCAGAAATCATCCATACCCACCCCACAGAGGAATTTGGAATTTCCTAAGAGTAGGGGGGTCAGAGAAAGAACAAAAATTACAKAGTTTGTATGGAAGAAAATTGGAATTTTTGGGGGGTAGGGGGTGTCTTTAAAAAATTCCTCCGTGAGGGGGGTAGGGATAACTTTTGGAACTACACAATACACAAAACAAAGGAACAGCAAACAGAATACAAACCATCTTGTAATACCAAGAAAGACCCAAGGTATACCAGGTTGGGAGTAAAAGGAATAATTAAAATAATGATATTTAGATAAAAGCAAGGATTGGAAAATGGAATTAAATATTTCTGTGGTGGAATTATTAAAAACAATTTTTGTTTATTGGATTGGTTATATTTTTTGCTTATTTGAAGAAAGAATAATTTAATTGGAATATGCAGCAAAAATAAGGACAAAGTTATCCCTTCTGTATCCTTTCCTTTCAGTAGACAGCTCTGCACCATCATGTGATGGAAAGCAACAATAGAGTCTTACATAAGACTTTTGTAAACCAGATTGGACCAGATTTAATTGTTTCTGCCTTCTGTCAAGGCTGCTATCCCATGATTGTGCAAAGCCTCTATTGCATAGGAAAACGACTTCCGTATTCGAATTTAATATCAGTGCTATAAAGATTTTCCTTACTTTTTCTTCATTCTCTACTTTCGCATCCCCATAATGCCTTGCGTATTTGGGGGGTAACCAATCAAAAAACTGTCCCAAATTGAAAGGTTTCTTAATTGAATTTATTCTATACCTGCTTTTATCTGTAAAATATTGATTATCAGTTTATTCCAAGTTATTTTTGCATGTACAGATCATCAAGAGTTTTGGTCTTACAGAAAAAATTTTCCGTTTTTTACTTCATTTTATTTTTGGACATTAAACAAGGTATTGTCAACATTGTCTGATTGGCCTTCAGCAAAATAAGTTGGTTTTTACCCTCTGGTTGCCCCCCAAAGGTGCAAAGTTTTATGGGGATGTGAAAGTAGAGAATGGCAGCGATCTGAAAAGGATAAATTGTCCAAAGTTGTGATTTTAGCAGTTGGATCCGGAAATACGTCACAACTGTCTATGCGGATACTTACCCTCCCCATCCCCGCGAAGTTTTTTGTCACTTCCCAGACCTCCAAAACTTTCCGTTCAAAACCAAAACTCCACGGAACGAAAATCTCTAACAAAATGAGTAGAGTTTTTGGATACGTTAAAGCATTTTCAAAAGGATTAGTCCTAAGTCTTCCAGTTTATATCGCCCTAGTAGACAATATAGGAAACGTAGCTACTGTCCATGGAGCATCGATGAAGGTAAAAAAACTTATTCTCGGCTCAGTGAAGCTTAAATTTTCAAGCAAAGATCTATTTTGTGCCTATTCATTTACCATGCATCGTCGTATTTCCACAATATAGATGTTATYAATCCTCGATCTCGTAAAAATAATGCCGTGTGCCAAAAGAAAATGTTTTTTTGAATATTTTTTTCAGCCATGTTTTAACCCTGACCACAGATCACTAGATGTAGTGATGCTAAGCAAAATTGCTATACGAAACTTCCAAGGAATAAACAGAGGARACGTTGTATCTATAGTGTAAGAAACAGAACGAGTTCTTTTTAACTATGCTACTTTAATGACTAAGCTGAGTGATTTGAAATTTGGTTTTGATTTTATCTTTATGGGATGCCTGTGGTTGGATGGTGTAACTACTATGTTTCTCTCATTTCTCTTTTCAGAGATCCTCATGACCCCAACATAGTATTGATAAAAAGGATAATAGGATTACAAGGTGATACCATCAAGTAAGTAATAAAGAATACTATAGAGAATGGTTTGTCACAYGAGTGAGAACCATACGGTATTGACTCACAGCACTACACGGTACAAAATGCTGTAACATTCAAATGCCTTTGATTTCCATTGTCTTCCAGTAAAGCCCTGTAAATTTTCCAAGTTAGAAGTTGGATTGATACAATTGTTTATCCAAGCCAATCAAAATGCAGGGGGAAAATGTTTTGTAATTGACAATACCATTGCAATTTTTGACAGGACWTTAGGATATAAAAATAAGTACGTAAAGATTCCAAAAGGACATTGCTGGGTTGAAGGTGACAATAATGCACACAGTATGGACAGCAATACTTTTGGACCAGTAAGTCACTATGTATAAATACTTCTATCACAGGGGCTGCGGAGCACCTTGGGGGGTGGGGGCTAAGATAGGAAAATGTATGAGACTAGTGTGGGAAAAAGTGGGGGAGCTCGAGGCTAAGATTGAAAAATATAAGAGACTAGTATAAGAAAAGAGTAAATGTGGGGGCGGGGGCCTGTATCCCCATTGCCCCCTCCCCCTCTGCAGCCCCAGTATCATATATGTATATAGGTATCACATGTGAGTAGAGTGTGTTGGRTATCTTTCTTGTCGAGTTGAGGGTTTTTGCCAGGCTCTCCAGCTTTTCTCTGTCCTGTCAGGGCATGGCTAGCTCATAGATTGAATATACCTTTCCCAAATTACAGTCTAATAGATGTACTATAGTAATGTGTTACTACTGAGTGTTGTGGTCACCTTACACTTACCATAAACGTTTATTTTATTAGATAATTTGAGATAAAGCAAGGCAGGATTTACTTATTTATTTATCAACTAAATCCTACTTTGATAAAAAATGTTACTGTTAAGTAAATTTAGATTCTTTGAGTGGCACTTACTGTATCTTGGGAAACGTCTATGAGCTAGCCATGCCCTGACTTAGATCAACCCAGAGGTTGTTTCAGGGTTCGATCTGTGAGTTAGCCATGCCCTGACTTTGATCAGCCCAGAGCTTGTTTCAGGGCATCAATTGATAGAATTTGAAGGTTTAAAAGTTTTTCCATTTCTCTCAGGTAGCAGTTGGTTTGATTCAAGCAAAAGCAACATACATATTATGGCCCATACATCGATGGGGTAAAATACATAGCATGATACCTGACAGTCGTGAACCTTTAACAAGTGAAGAATGTGAACAAATGAATAAACAAAAGACTGATAAAACAGCCATTATTGAAGACAGYGAGGAAGAAAGAATTTCCAAAGATGTGAATGGACTGAAGTTTGCTGATTATGAATCTATGAATGATTGTAGTTTAATACCAGGAAAATTTGGACCAGTCAGCTAAGGGATGAGGGCAAAACAATTGTCATCTCACGGGACCCAATTTAGGGGGGAGGGTGGTGTTACCCAGTACCCACCACCTCTGGAAGTGAAATCTTAGCTTTTGTCCCCAAATATCTCCAAAACTAAAAGCCAAATCACAGAAATGAATGGACTGTCTGTCTAAAAAGCATATTTGTGTATAGAAATTGCCACTACAGACCCCCAGTATTGAGCATTTGAACAGGTCTCTAGGGGGGAGGGGGTATGTACTGGTACCCACCACCTTAGTTCATAAAATCAGGTTCCTATTTTGGACCATTGTTTTGACCTCGCCCCTAGTATTTTTTTTAAAAGCTCATTTTCTAGTGTGATAATTCATGGTGTGTGTGCCATGAACAAATGAAGCATCTTAAAATTGATTTTATCTCATACCATTCAGAAATTTTTATGTGATTGACAGGAAGAATGGTTGGAATACTGCATTTTCTATATCCTAATTAGCTGCATGTTTTGTGGTGTGGAATAAAGTGCACGGACATTAGTCGTGGCACCCATGTCTACTGAAACGATAGAATCCTACAGGTATTCACATAAGAATAAAAAAACATGGCTGCCATGTGAGTTAGGCCCATTCTCATATCACAACCTTCAAAGCGCATGTCTTCATTAGACTAGACCATGTCACGAAAAAAATATAGCACTCCATATCACATGTGGATAATAAATGCACTCTTCTTCACTATCAGCTCACCTCACTTTTTCAAGCAAAAGTATACTAGTTTTCCCTCCCCTATAAGGCCCTCCRATAAACGAGGCCTTATGTTTGTATAACTTCATAATTTTACTGCTCGCATAAATAATAATAATAAATAATAATAATTTTTATTGAGATAACTTTTTCATAATTATGATTTTCGAAAAGGACCTCATGCATGATGATAGAGAGTGGACAGCAGATGCATGGAATGGGCGCACCCAGGATTTTTCGTATGGTGGGGGAAAATTCTGCCATTTTGTTCGTGCCCCTGAAACGCCGAACCAAAAAAAAAACGGCCTTCCATATTTCATTTTTGCAAAAATATAAGAACCAGTATGAATTTTTTTTTTTCTACAAGCAAAATTGGAACTATATRAATAATTTTCTAAATAATTTTGTTGCCAGGAAGGGGGACCTGCCCCCTTTCCCCGCTTTGCCTTTGGGTGGGGCATTTTGGAAGGCCTAATTTGCTGCAGTTGATGTTGGAATAGCCTTTGTTGCATTTGGAATTTTCTTCGTTTAAGGCGGACTTCACGAAGAAAATTCCGGATGCAACGCAGGCTAATCGTGGAAGTGCATGAAGAAGAAAAGATTAATTGAGTTGCTAACCTACCCCTGCTTGCAGGACTCGAGTTGACAGCAAACACCATGTCCAACATTGCTTACCTATTATCAGCCCACCCTGACAAACAAGTTCATAGTGGACCTTGATAAAGCGCACCACCAAAAAAAGACAGTACCTGGATCAGGTTTTATTGATGGTTTTCAACCATTCCCAAGAGAATTAAATAACAAAAGACACGGCGGCCATGTTGGAGGATATAACGAAAGAATTCATTGGCAATTCTTTTAAGTTCCTCCAACATGGCCGCCGTGAAATTCCTGTCTGCAATCTTGCACGTGGCTGTGAAGATAAGATTGTGATCAAAGGATTCCTAAAAGAGTGGATGTGAATATTCCAAAAGTCGACTGACTCATTCGCGAGAAACTAGCGTAGTTTAATCAAAGGGACCAGACTATTTTCTCCTGTGGTTTGATATCGTCGTACTTCGACAGTGTATTGGAATATTCAACTTGCTATCAACGAGGTTGAGCTTTGTATGCTGAAAGTACAAGTTCTAACTTTCTTTCTTTCTTTTTTTCTTTCTTTCTCCATCTCAAGCTGCAATAAAGAATGGAGCTGAAAAGTCACCTTTTTTGGGCTGGAAAAAATGGGATTTTGTTCACTAGGAATGGCCCCGTTCACACAAAAAAAGACAAAAAACAAAAAAACAAAAAACAAAAACATTAAAAAAATGGTATTGAGATTTCAGCAAAACATATGCTGGGACTATATATACGATCTGGTCAAAATGGGAGTA